TGTGTGTGTGTGTGTGTGTGTGCACAGACAGAACAAGTTTGGAATGTACGAAATGACGGAAGGCGACAGGTTTCGGCCGCGCGCAACCGCTAACTGGATGGCGCCGAAGCCCAAGGCTGCGAGTGTAAGGTGTAAGCTGCGTCTGTGTGTGTACATAATTGTTGATAACAACAATTGTAATAGTAGTGTTAAGGGAACACGTGATAAGGGTGGAGCAAATAACCACGGCATTATGTCGATGCATCCCCCTATAGTAATTAGTGGAAACAAGGCGAAGCATTGTATGACGGAACATCGCAGTGTGTAGGCAAGACTTTTTTTTCGTTTTGTATCCTGCATCCTTCTTTAATCCTCTTCGCATGATGCGTGGCTTGCATCGCTCAACATGCGTAGTACCAATGGACGGCCCAACCTGGACGGTCACCCACATAAGACTGGTGACGATTACTTACATACCCACAGAATGTCTGGATTCAAAGTTATTAAAGTAGAGTCGAGATATCATGAAATTAGAATAAACAACTACGAGAATAACCACTCTTACCACTATAGTGAGCAGCAGAAGAATTATGACTACTCCAGGTGCACCAGACACCCATCGATCTGGCTGATCCGGCTGCCCATATGCCTAGTGATCCGGCTGCACTGGCTACCCATACGTATGCCCACTGATTCTGCTGTACAAACTGCCTTTATACATATTGATCTAGCCAAGCTAGCTAAAGTAGTGGACATTTGGTCATTTGGACAGGCGGACATGTGGACAGGCGGACATGCTGCGGTTGGTCTTTGGTTCAGAATATCGTGACACATACGGACAAGACCCTTGGCAAGGAGGGTCGACATCACGGTAAAGGACAAACTTCAGCATGCGTCACCATAACATATCAACTAGTGGCAAGATTATGCTCATAAATGCTTCATTCCAGAAAAACACTCCTATAGTTTAAGCAAACTCCACATGTACCATGAGCTGTGTCCAAACAATCTCAGATGCGAAATGCCCTTTCTGTACTCATACATTTGCTCACGAACTACATCTGTCTAGTTCGCATATGTGACGAAACTCGGGATATAAGATGCAGCCTTCAACGCCAGATTTGGCCCTCTACAACTCATCGTGTTCGTTGGGGACATCATCGTCACCAGCGCCACCGGAAGAACCGTAGAGCTTGGAGGTGATGGGGTAGGCTACGTCGGAAAGCTTCTGGAACTGCTCGTCGAAGTCCTCAGCGGCAGCCTCACCAGCGTTGCTCTCGAGCCAGTCCTGGGTCTCCTTGACGGCCTCGAGGAGAGACTCCTTGTCGTCGTCCTCAATCTTGCCACCAAGACCCTCCTCGTCGTTGACCTGGTTCTTGAGGCTGTAGGCGTAGTTCTCGAGCTTGTTGCGGGCCTCGATGCGCTCGCGGGTAGCCTTGTCCTCCTCGGCATACTTCTCGGCCTCCTCAACCATGCGGTCAATCTCCTCCTTGCTGAGACGGCCCTTGTCGTTGGTGATGGTGATGCTCTCACCCTTGCCAGTGCCCTTGTCAACAGCGCCGACCTTGAGGATACCGTTGGAGTCGAGCTCGAAAGTGACCTCAATCTGGGGAACACCACGGGGCGCGGGACTGTGAATTATTAGTTGACGCTCCACTAAGCTGAATCTGCATTGAAAACTTACGGAATGTTGGTAAGCTCGAACTTTCCGAGTTGGTTACTGACGAGAAAAGTTAGCGACACATGCTTGATGGCGAGCACTCGATTGGTGACGGTGAAGGACATTCCGGTCTTTGGCCTGGTATTTGCATGGTTCACAATAAAGTCCACACCCATCGGCAACCACAGATTTATGACGATCTGTGGCAAGATGTCTCTGAAGTAGGGAGTTGGTACCGAAGCTCTTGTCACAAGGTGTACAGTGGAATCGCTTCGCTCGAACATCTCTTTCACGCTTCGCTCGACTGTCTGGAATTTGCCTCCGAGAGTTGGCACGGATTCTGGCGATGTACTCAGGAGTTTTGTTGGCACGCTGGCGTCTGTCGTAGTCTCGTCTCCATGCACGGCGATGTTCGAGGGCAAGCTTGGCGATGTTCTCCAACTGCTCGGCAGTGTACTCAATGTTGTCAACACCATCAATGACCCCCTCGGTAAGAGGGTTGTGAGTGCAACAACCACCATATTTGTATGTGTTTCGAGGCCATGGTGCATCGGGGGCCCCCGGAAACCCATAAGCTGTGGTGTTTTTGAGCATCGGCCAGAAGATCAGGTGCATAGCAGATTCGACAGCGACAACGGCAGTGCGGTATACCGGAACATCCTTGGCAGACGGCTTGGGACACCAGGCGACCACGCACTCTCTGACTTGCACAAAACCGGCATTTTTGGCATCGCGAAGTCCTTTGGGCTCGACAAGGCGGCTTCGATGTTGACGTATGCGAGAGCGAACACCGTTTCTAGCATCGGAGGTACCTGAGCCGATGTATAGCTTGAACTCACTTCCTCTTTGAAGGACAAGGATGTATATGCCCCAAAATCCTGAAGGTATGTCGGTGGGGAGAGTGAGAAGTAACTCGATGCTGGGTGGTAGGTCTGATTGAATGATGTCGTACAGACCATCGACAAACTTGAGACCAAGCTTGGGGTAGAGACCAGCAAGGTGATCAAGTGAAGGAAAAAGAGTGCGAAAGCGAGGAGCAATCCAGCTGGTGACATTGAGGCAAGCCCAGGTAAGGTGCAGAATGAGTGCGTGGATATTGGTGGCATCATACTTTGCCATCTCGCTTTGGTTGAGTGAAGGTTGGAGGAAGAAAGCCAACCGTGTCGACTTGTTTTGTTTTGACCCTCCCGGTAAGTGAGGAAGCCACATTCACCACTATTGTGGCTTCCTCCACCCCGGGAGAAGGTGCGGATAGGTACTTACCAAAGACCTTCATGTTCCAGGAAAGGGTGACCGGGCCAAGGAAAAAAGGGTGGAAGGAAATGGGATACTCACTTGTCCTTTGTCATACTGCGCTCGCCTTCGAATACCTGGATCAAGACGACGGGCTGGTTGTCGGCGGCCGTGGAGAAGATCTGGCTCTTCTTGGTGGGGATGGTGGTACCACGCTTGATCAAAGTGGTCATGACACCACCAGTGGTCTCGATACCGAGGGTAAGAGGGTTGACATCCATGAGAATGACACCGCTGGTGCGGTCCTCACCGGAGAGAACACCACCCTGGACGGCGGCACCGTAAGCGACAGCCTCATCGGGGTTGACATCCTTGCGAGCCTTCTTTCCGAAGAACTCCTCAAGCATGGCCTGAACCTTGGGGATACGGGTAGAACCACCGACGAGGACAATGTCGTCGATGTCGCTCTTCTTCATCTTGGCGTCCTTGAGAACCTGCTCAACAGGCTTGAGAGTCTTCTTGAAAAGGTCGTTGTTGAGCTCCTCGAACTTGGCGCGGGTGAGAGTCTCAGAGAAGTCCTTGCCCTTGAAGAAGGACTCGATTTCGATCTTGGTGGACTTCTGGGAAGAAAGAGTGCGCTTGGCCTTCTCAACCTCACGCTTGAGCTTACCCATGGTCTTAGCGTCCTTGGTGATGTCGACATTGTTCTCCTTGTTGTACTTCTTGGCGAAGTAGTTGATGACACGGTTATCGAAATCTTCACCACCGAGATGAGTATCACCGGCAGTAGCCTGGACCTCGAAAACACCCTCCTCAATGGTGAGGATGGAGACATCGAAAGTACCACCACCAAGATCGTAGACGAGAACCTGGCGTTCACCTTGGTCGGTCTGTGAAAGCGAGTTAGCTTGGTCCTTGGAGTAACATATTACTATAGCATCTTACCTTGTCAAGACCGTATGCGAGAGCGGCGGCGGTGGGCTCGTTGACCACACGGAGAACGTTGAGACCGGCGATAGTACCAGCGTCCTTGGTGGCGGCACGCTGAGCGTCGTTGAAGTAGGCGGGGACAGTGACAACGGCGTTCTTAACGGGCTCACCGAGGTAGCTCTCAGCAACCTCCTTCATCTTACCAAGAACCATAGCGGAGACCTCCTCGGGGGTGAAGGTCTTCTCCTCGCCGTGAACCTCAACACTAACGCGAGGCTGGCCACTCTTGTTAAGAACCTTGAAGGGGAAGTGCTTGATGTCGCTCTGGACAGACTTGTCGTTGAACTTTTGACCAATGAGACGTTTCTACTCTCCAATTAGTATAATGTGTTTCGAATAGCGGGGTATGGGGAATGCGTACGATATCGAAAATGGTTCGATGGGGGTTGGAGGCAAACTGGTTCTTAGCGGCGTCTCCGACGAGGCGCTCCTCATCTGTGAAGGCGACCCAAGAAGGAGTGATACGGTTACCTGTAGAGGGAATTGGTTAGTTGGGGGCGTCTACGAGCAACTGGTGGTGGTGGGGCTTACCCTGGTCGTTGGCGATGATTTCAACTTGACCGTTCTTCATGACACCAACGCAAGAGTACGTGGTTCCCAGATCGATACCAATGACGGGGCCGGAGACGGCGTTGCCGTCATCCTTTGCGGAATCATTGTCCTTGGCGTGTGCTGTCTTAGCCAGCATCAGACCGCCGACGAGGACGAGGAGAAGGTAGAAGGCAATGGACCATGTCGAGCGCCTGCTCGCATTCCGTGAGCTGCGCGCCATTGTGGATGTATGTGGAGTAAGGTCTCTCGGAGACTAAGTATGTGGCCTTGAGTGCCAGAAGCAAGTGCGGGCGTAACTCTCTTCGAGTTCGCGATGTGGTGGAGTAGACAAAGCTCTCCGGGTATCGTAAAGAAAGGAAACCAAAGGCAAGGTGGAATTGATCCTAAGGTGAGTGGAGGGAGAAGGAGAAGAGCGGTGGAGGGCTGCTGTTATATGCACGCCCAGTCGTGGAAGTATTTAGAAAGAACACCTTGCGATCTCGAAATACTAGCTCCAAAAGTGGACTAGCGCATACACTGGACCATGGCGCTTTTGCCCCAGTCGCCCGCTACAGCCTCAATTTCATCCGTGTTTAATGCAATCTGTTACATGACACGTGTAATTTAGCGACAAAGGCTTTCTGTGTAGCCTTGTTGGAATTGTAATATCGCAGTCTATGTGTGGTTGTGCGCCCACGAGCAACTTGAAGCGCATTGGAATGGGCAACTAACTGCTGCAGTGGCCCTACCGCCGGTCGTTATCTAGTGGCCGATACCCCTCCATCTAAGCGAATGCACTCCAGTCCTTTGGCCATTCTCGACATACTTTTTCCTCTGATGAAGCGGTGGACCAGATTGCGGATGCCTAATATCGACTCATGCATTACAAACATGTCGAATTTCCGGCTTGTTCATCGGTGATTACCCAGGCTTTCTGTGGCGGCCAGCTCCAGGTGTCCTTTTACTCTAAATGTGGGGGTGTTTCCAAAACAGCTAAGCCGAAATTGACACTGGACCATCTGCCAATAAACAGTCACCACATTGAAGGCTCCATGCTCTTCTCTACCTAATTGCAACGTTTCCCTAATGTTAACGCCCAATTGCCACCTATGCGCATTGTTTAGTCATTTTGACTGCTGCTGCCTATAGCAAGGCGCACGCCATTCCTTACGGACGCTTTGGCACCCGGCCATGATATCGTACCATTGATAAATTCCTTTTTTGATTGCTTCAACGTGTTAACATGCGCCATGCAATTCAAGTTGTCGCGCACCACTACCGTTTCCAAGATTGTGCACTAAAGAAGTTTGTGAATATGGTATACTTGTCAACTACTATGGCTTGGCCACCCACAAATGGAGACCACCATTCTGGAAGTATCTCGACTAGTCCACGGACTTCACAGCCTCAAATTCACGATACAATAGCCTCTTTCGTGTTACATGTCCACGCGATGCTGGTAGAGAACATCAACCTTATTTCGCTGTACGGCGCAATCTTGTCACGCTGAAGCGCCGAATGCGGCATCTTCCCTGCTTATGTCATTAACTCTATTTCAATTACAATGTATCACTGCTGTCACAGCATGTTGTTTGCTAACTATCACATGCTGGATCTACGCGTCTACAGTGCGTACTACTACCAGATTCCCCACGAGCGACGACCAGTAACACAGTAAGCGGTCGAATCCTACGCCCTGATTGGACCATACCCTGTCACTACGTCATAGACTCACGCGTCGTTGCCAAACCCGGCTCTGACACTTCTGACACTCAACTTACTTGAAATCAAGTGCGACAGCACTCCTTTCTGTATATAGCATAGCCCAAAAGATGTATTCCATTATCTGCCTTGGGATACATAAATGCTGTCTTGGCTCGCTTCCGTAACATTCCTTTTTAAGCATTCTGCTAACGTGTCATTGGATATATAGACTAAAAGCACCTTGGCAACATGTCTGACAAAGTTGTGGACCCTGCGGCAAGAGACAAATATCTCCTTCAAGGTACACCCATACAAAAAACAACTCATCGCCTCAAGGTGCCTAACAGTACTCAGTAACTGCGGGCCCATCTTACAACCCTTCGGACCATGAACAAGTAGCAATAAACGGTGCAGATCCAACATACATCGAAAGCGACCTCCTATCCGCTTGGATACGCGTTCGTATAAAAGACTATCATGGCTTACCTCACGGTTCGCCAGCTTCATCGTCATACTTCGACCACCCACAGCATACCTCGGATCGTTATTCCATCGCCTACTCTTTCATTCCCAAACAAGACATGCCTGGCTCCGACTTGGTCATGGGATTTGACTACGACCATTCAATCAGACATCAATTGCCTCCAGGTTTCAAGTACGCGATGAAAATTGCAACTAGCTTGCTCGACCCAGGCCTGTATTCTGATCCCTACTCTGACCAACCGTACCTGTACGGTCCAGCGCTATCAAGTTTCTTTGCTTTCCAGATCGGCGAAAAGACGAGCGTCATGTCTCCGTCTGACCAACTCTCCCAGCTCGAGCAAGACTCAGCCAATATCATTGAAGAGGGTGCTTATGGAAGTGGTGCTGAGATACGAAAGACACTAAACATGCCTCCTAAATGGAAGAAGAGGCGGAAGTTCTTTCTCGATACAAAGGCGCTCGCAGAATTCACGTTCGAGAAGGACAGAATGTACCACGCAGACTTTTTCAATCCACACTTGGATTTTGCAAATTTCGCCTTGAGGTTACCAGGCTTCTCCATTAGTGTCGCACGGTACGTGGATGAGAAGACGCATCACCTGAGATATGTTTTGAGAAACTGTAAGACGGAAGAAACGTTGCTAGTTGTGATTTTCAGACTATTGTATGGAAAGGAGTTGGAGGCTACATTGGAGCAGGAGAAGAATAATGGGAATGTGGCAGCTGCGCCTGAGACGGTGACCAGTCAGTCAGGAGAAAACAGTATAAATCATGATGGGCATAACAAGGCCTCCCCTGTCGAGGAAACTGAAGGAACAACTTCGCAGTTCCCACCAGCAACGACGGAACCCAACGTGGCCAAACCAGAGCGACCGGAGCTTGTGACTACGGGATCTTCAACAGCGGATTCTGAGCATGACGACAGAAATGGCCAAGGCTATATTGGCCAAGCATCCACTGCGATATCAAGCTTAACGAACTCAGTGGTCGCAGTATATGCGGCATTGGGTTTTAAATACTCTTCTTCTTCAACCTCTGATTCTGAGGCATCGAACAGGAGTCGTTCCCCACAGCCGTCAGATCAATCCATGGAAGCAAGGATCGACGATATGGACAATGAGACGGTGGAGAAGTTCCTGCGGGATCAGACTAGCAATGTTCGAAATGCTCCAAGGGCTAGTCATGACCAGGATGGGTAGACTGGGTATTCTTTGTTCCCTGCGATAGACAGAATTCACGTTCGGCGTTTTTTATCAGACTATTGGCATGGGATTCTCTTCGTCTTGGATGCGCTCAGCGCATTTATACATTGCCAATGCGACCAAAAATGACAAATTTAAGCAATGCGGGGACGGCAAGCCCGCCCCATGAAAACAACGGGGATGCGATCCGTTTGAACTTTCTTACACTATGCAGTATTAGGATCATTGTTCAACACCTGTCAGTCTCAACGTTGCGCCTCAACAACTATGTTTCCTTTGCGCCAGAAGAACAATACTTGCACAATACCAATGCCTCCAATTGTTGAACTGAACCCTGTTTTTCATAATACATGGACACAGAATTATGAGCAGACCCGCGGAGGGATTATTGTAGCAAAAAAAGTCGACTCCGCTTATGATAGGAAGTCAGCCTTTGACCCCTGCCTGATGCCAGCCTAACAACGCACGCACCATCAGCCCCACATCCATCTCGAAGGTCATGAAACCCGAAAGAAGACTCCTTGACACGCGCTTTGCACCGAGCATCCGTCCGAGGGCAACAATACACGCCCTCATGACGCATTTGGCGGATCGCAATTACGTCCACCAAGGCTGGGCTTCTTAGACAAAAGGCTAACACTTTGCATGCGGGAAGGGCGAGCACCGGGGCTAAAACAGTCGGTGACCTCGTCAGCCTAATCGATCTGCGTTTCGGATACTCGAGCTTCCATGGCACTAACACGACTTTGTCGCGAAAGACTGCCCCAAGCACCCTCGCGGACACGCCTGTGATTTGCGGTAGGGTACCGACTCCATCGGCGTCAGTGTTCCCGTAGGCTTGCGGTTGTCAACGTTTCCAGTCCAGCGCATCTTGAGGCACTTTTAGTGGCGCGGATTCATGCGTTGCCGAACGATGACAATCCTTCTTTAGGGCTCTGACTATCACGTTTTTTCTCTTTCCCTCCGGTAGTAGTATACGTGAATGACCTTTTTTTCCCCGGATACGAATCAGCCCATCTTTTCCTTTCTCATATGGTCAACGCTATAATCGGTCCTTTCACAAACTTTCGGTCACGCAACGATGATAAATACCTGTTTGGATCTCGCACTTTTGTGCCACCCTGTACTTGCAGTCCTCACAATCCAACGGTCCAAGATGCAGACGCAGCAATCGTGGTGGCAGTACTTTCTGCTCAGTTTTCTGTCTTTACTCGCTATTCGCTATGCAAGTAGCGCAAGCACACCACTAAACACTACCCTCGATTCAGTAGCCGCAATTACATGCCAATCAGAAGACTCGCCAAACCCAATTGCAACGACATATCCAAACAACGCCACTGGAGTCCTCAACGGCACAGTTTCAATCGTACCTGTCCCACTGGATCTCGCACGCCAACTGATTCCCTCACAATACCGCATCTTGGAACATGCATACCGCCACCTCCTCCCCACATTCCCAAAAGACATGTACCCCGCCGTCGTCCAAGCTGTGCACGACCACGACATCCAATTCGGAGGCTTCAAAATCCCAGACTTTTCTGTAAGCTTAATTACTATACTATTGCTCACCTGACTGTCACCTCTAACCTCCCCAACCAGCGCGCAGGAATTGAATTCCCATTCCTAGACCTCCTAGGCGACAACTCCACATCCTTCAAATGGGTCCCCTCGCTCTTAGTGTCTGCCGACAACGCCGCCGCCATCCAAGGAGCACAGGCTTACGGCACCACTACCTACCCTTCCACTTTTGACCCCACATGCAACTCCTACCGTGCCGTGCCCGACGCCGCCAATCCCGGCACCACGGCCTACAGCGGCCGCAGCGTCGAGTCCGGGGCCGCGTGTGCAGACACGCAATTCCACAGCACCACCGAGGCACCGTACCCGCTAGACTTCTTCGTCAACGTCACGAACCAAATCATTTTCGCGAATGGCAAATCCTGCGATAATATGATTCGTCTGTTCGACACGAGTTTGAGTACCGCGCCGAATCGGATCGAAAATGTCAAAGGGTCTGTTCGTGCGAAGATGGAGCCCTTCAAGACGGAGCAGGTGTGGGATGGCGTTTATGGCATCAGATTTGCGTCGGCCTTCATTGAGAATAATTATCTCCCATGTGAGAACTTTCGGGGCTACGGGGCGTAGGGTTTATGCCGGGAAATCTGGAAAGGCAAAGGATTGGGTTGGATTCGTCAGTCCCCTTACGACATGGTTGTCGTTATGATATGAAGGAGTGCTGGGAACAGGTGTTACTTCTTTTTTTTTCAAATGGTGAAGGGAAAGTAGTAAAAGGGATACCCAATTCGCAGCTATTTTAGAGCATTGTAGATACATAAGCATACAATACCATCACATATTTGTTCATCATTTCGAGATATTAAAAAGAGAGACACAAATCTTTACATATTCTTTCTACAATATCTATCCGCAGATTGTTTATTTCACACCTAGCAGACCCTTTAGTCTGAGTATCTTGCCCTGAATGATGCCTTTTATGCCACCCACCCCTGTGGCTGGCACCTCATCAGCGCCCACAAAGCGCCTGACGAGCAGATTGAAAATGTTTCCAAAGCCCAATGCCATGACTGTGCTGGTGAGGATGATGACGTTGTACGGCATACTGAAATCGGGTGTTGGCAGAGGAAGAAGCAACGAGGTTGTGCGGACGTAGATGCCCTTATTGTCGCCGGACGATGGCGACAGAACGCGGATGACGGCAGGGGCGACGTCGAAACCTCGGTTCGCATCTGGCGGGTACTCTGTGTACCGTAAGATGGCCTTTTCAAAGTCGTATGTCAAGGTGAGCGTAGAGTCAGGTGGGATGACCATACGTAGCTCGAGGTGAGTGCCTCGTTTGCGGTCGACTGCCGGTCGGTAGTATGTCTCTTTGATGGGAGTTTGATCCGTGGTGTCGACATGAGCGCGTAGTGTGTGCAGATACGGCTTCATGAACCAGGGCAGAGACTCGAGGTAAACGACCTCGACTGCTTGTTGTTTGGATGGGTTGCGGATGACTGCCTGGATACTACCTCGTTCCTGACCGTGGCCGTTGATGGATCTTGCAGCAAAAACGAGAGGGTCTGGGCGAACCAAGCCTGTCTTCATCTTCTGCTCAGGGAGGGCAAGGTCGAAATTCTGGCCTGTTGGAAGCTTGAAGCAGCGGAGAGTATCTGATGCCAATTTTCTCTCTGTAAACTGGCCCTCTGTCTTTACTTCCATGATACGTTCCGGTGGCATGTTGATACAAACATTGTGGGCCTCGTCTATGCTCTCGTCTATCAACGGGCAAGCTCCCCGGAGCGGTCTTCCGAAAACTTCCTCGAGGGTCCAGGGAAGCTCAGTGCCTTTGTTAAGGGGATAGCAAGTATCATGCGCATTGTAGGGCTTGGACGTGTCGCATTCCATTTGCTCAATAGGAAGAGGCCGCGGGATCGGATTATCTCTCGGGCGCTTCGCTCTCGCAATGTCCAGGACCATGTCCACACTCTGCTCCATCTCTATAGAGCAAGTGGAGCTGCCCTCGCTACACGTGGGGCGGACATCTACAGCCATGGTCTGGAATGCAGCATCAAACAGCTTGTGCCCATCAAGAAGGCTCGACACACCGGCCTTTCCCTTGCAGGGCAGCAGTTTCAAAAAGGGGGTCAAGTTCTCAGTGCAGACGACTTCGTGAGGCAGGGTGCCATGGAGCAGGTGAAGGTTGGATGAATTGCCATGCTGACCTTCTGGTTCAAAGGACATGACGGGGCGTATGGTTTTGGTGGCATCGATGAAGTTTATCGAGGCGCAGAAGAGGCCAGACAAGGCATTGGTGAGTTTCAGCCATCGGGCAAATGCTCTGGAGACACGGTTAGCATTTGGTGAGTGCTACGTATACACGGGACATACTCCTCCTCAGTCGCGGCCTCGACCCACGCCCACAGCTCGACGCCCGTGCCTCCTTCTCGCGCCCCGTTCCATGGCCGCTGTCCCCAATTGTCGGCATCCCATCTTCCAACGCTGAATCTCAGGTGCAATTCCTTGGCATGCGCATGTTGCAGAATCTGACCAAAAGAGCGCGGGAAGTAGCGAAAGTTTTGTGCTTCAAAGGCAGCCGCGCTTTCGTTGCTGCGGAAGTTGAAAGAGGCCAGAAGGGTGTTCTGCGGAAGGGGCCGAAGGAGGAGACGCTCACTGTAGTCGGAGCCTGCCGATACAAGTGCAATCAAGGCATTGAGCAACAGGAGGGTGAAAGACGAGAGCATGGCAGCATGGTAGCGCTCTCTACGCGGACAGGATGGTGAGGGTGGTGAGGGTGGTGGTGATGAAGGGCGCCCCACATGTGATTGGTCAGGCGCAGTCCATGTAGACCAACCGTACTTGGCATTGCCGCGGTCGCAGCGTCGCGATTTCTTTTGACCGTCACCTCACCTCAAGCTCTCCTCCACATCACGATAATAGCGACTAATACTAGATAGATTACATTATGGCTGCAGCAGAGACGCGTAGGCTGCTCGGTATGCAAACCCAATCGACCCTGAGAAAATATCAACCCTGACACACAATGTAGAGCAGCTCATGGGCGAACAGCTCATGAACGGAACCGACCAGCGCGCGCCCCAGCTCAGCATCACCGACTCAAAGGTCTGCCGCTCGTATCTAGTCGGCAACTGCCCGCACGATCTCTTCACCAACACCAAGAACGAACTGGGGCCTTGTCCCAAAGTTCACAATGAGGCACTCAAGACTGAGTACCAGGAGGCCGACGCAGACCAGAAGCGCAGGTGGGGCTTCGAGTTTGACTACATGCGCGACATGCAGCATCACATTGACGCCTGTAATCGCAAGATAGATTCGGCCCAGCGCCGCCTAGAAAAGACGCCTGAAGAGATCCGGCAGACCAACGCTCTTGTCAGTAGCCTAGCCTGACCCATCGAGGAGTTTTGAGGGTATACGCTAACAACCTGCGCAGCTCAAAGCAATCAACGAACTTACAAAGTCCATCGAAGCCGGCATGCTGGAAATCAAGATAATGGGCGAGGAAGGCATGGTTAACATGGCTGTCCAAGAGTTCACAAAAGTCCGCTACAAGAAGGCTGAGAAGGAGGAGCGCGAACGCGAACTACGGGCCCTTTCCGACACGGGCGGTCCTTCCGGGCATCAGAAACTCCAAGTGTGCGATGTATGCGGTGCGTACCTCAGCCGTCTGGATAACGATCGTCGGTTAGCAGACCATTTCTACGGAAAGATGCATCTCGGCTACGCCCAGATGCGCAAGTCGTACGAGGCGCTGTCCAAGGAACTCAAGGACCGTGCGCCGCCTCGCAACTCGTATGCTCCCTCAGGCGGGGACATGGATCGAGGCAGTGGAGGCGGATGGGGCGGAGGTGGTGGCGGTGGTTACGGCGGAGGCGGCGGAGGCGGCGGCTACCGTGGCGGACGAGGAGGTCGTCGCGGCGGCAGAAGAGGAGGCTGGTAAAAGGAAAAACGTTGTCTCCCCTTGTGTCTTCGGCGTTAAGGTGTGTCGACTTGAGATTCCCAAAAAACTGGTGCAGCTTACCACAGTATTTTTTATTGGTTCTTGTTTTTTCTTGGGGCAGAGATACGAAAAGAGAAGGGAAACGAAACACCAAAAACTACCGCGACTTGGGGGGTAGTTTAGGGCTGTACAACAGGTTTAGCGACGTTTTACTGATGGTCCTCCCTCCCAGTGGAGCCCTTACTTGAGCTTGTCAATCTTCTCGAATTACTTGTACGCTTCTTCTTTCTCTCTCTCTCTCTCTCTCTCTCTCT